ACAAAGCAGTGCAGCAGACTCATCCTTCCCAGCAGGAACGGGTACAAAGGGCAGATTTTGTGCCCGGTGACCAAAGAATAATAGAATCCGTATCATTACAGCAGTGGGGACCTGGGAAGGTGTTTTTATGAAAAGCAGAGAAAATGGCATCCAATGAAATACAGTTTAAAAAGAATAAGATCGAGCCAGATCCCAACTTAAATTTCAGCTCTATTGCTTAGTTTGTGTAACCTTGGGCAAAACACACCAGACCTCTCTGATCTTTTTAACTCCTCTATAAACTGAGATGGAATCTTCCTCCCAGGTTTGTCATGAGGATTATCAGCTAAAACTCATACTAAGAGGTACCAACCATTTTCTTTCTTCCCTCGCATACCCTTGAAGAGAACTTCTCATAATCTCCCCGAACCACGGGTGATTTGTCCAGCTGAGAACATGTCCACTACTGGCTACTGTTCCAAGCAGCTCTGTGAACTAAAAGATGTCTTGGCCATTTTAGACTTATTGGAAGAAAGCCATGCCACAGAAAAAAAAATAATAAAACAGATCTGTAAAGATAAGCAGACACCAGATTACAAAGCCCCACAAAAAGAGCAAGCTTTATTCCAGATGGGACTTTGGCCCCTTGTGGGATCCACCATGCCCTGGTACCTACATTTAGGCTTATGTGGGTTTCAGTTGGTCTGTTTCTGGCAACCAAAAGAGTTGGTATGTAAAGTACTTTACTAAATCACCTACTGTGGTCAGGTTTTAGACTCACGGTAGCTATTATTTCAAAACATTTCACACAATTCACTGTGATATGCTTAATTACTGGTGTTATTAACAAGCAGATCCTCATGCAACTACTTGAATAGCTTATGGTTTTAAGTTAATCAAATTAGCTATACTTTCATGAACAATTTACATGGCCACTATAGATGGAAGCTTAAGACAGAGAACATGCTCTTCTATTTTTCTGTAAGTCTTCACATGAAATAAATGCCTCCTTGACAAATGTTGAAAAAATAATTATAATATTCCATTGAAACTGAGAAATAAAGCAAGCAACCTTTGTTTATTTTTTAAAAGATAAACATGGCTGATCTGCACTAATCATAACACTTTGAAGGCAATAAAAAAATATTCAACATTTATAGTCTATAAATAAATAATACCCTGTTTTACTTATACTGTTAACCAAAAATAAAGCTGGAAATGAGAAAACTGGATGATGCTTATGGATTTAAAGGTAAGACATGGTATTTGATTCTGAGAAAATGAAAACATAAATGGAAAAATGACTATGGTAATTAATTTAGTAAAGAATGAACATTTAAAGGTTTATATATAAACTTTACATGCTTGACTGAACAGACTAAAACATTATTCAATTAAGACAGAGAACATGCTCTTCTATTTTTCTGTAAGTCTTCACATGAAATAAATGCCTCCTTGACAAATGTTGAAAAAATAATTATAATATTCCATTGAAACTGAGAAATAAAGCAAGCAACCTTTGTTTATTTTTTAAAAGATAAACATGGCTGATCTGCACTAATCATAACACTTTGAAGGCAATAAAAAAATATTCAACATTTATAGTCTATAAATAAATAATACCCTGTTTTACTTATACTGTTAACCAAAAATAAAGCTGGAAATGAGAAAACTGGATGATGCTTATGGATTTAAAGGTAAGACATGGTATTTGATTCTGAGAAAATGAAAACATAAATGGAAAAATGACTATGGTAATTAATTTAGTAAAGAATGAACATTTAAAGGTTTATATATAAACTTTACATGCTTGACTGAACAGACTAAAACATTAGGTCTTTATGAGAACAGCAGCAAAATTTAAGACAATTAAAAATCAGCACTTAAGAATCTGCTGTACTGTTATGAATAAACAAAAGACCACTGTATCAGTGAAGCCTAAGAAAATCCCGATCACTATGCTATTTGAGCCAATGTGCACTGGCTCTGTTTTCCTTTCAAACATGTTCCCTCATTCTGGGTGTGAACTGGACCTTCAGCTGCAACCACCTGGAAGAGTAACCAGGTTACAACGCATGGCTGTAGAACCAATCTCACTACATTATAGGTACAGCATGTAAACAATGCCATTCTATAATTAAAATAGCAAAACCAGGCTGAAGTGCACACCCTCATGTTATAAATACATCATATATCAGAATTAAAAACTATAGAAATAAAGACAAATAATGGCATAAAGGGCATGATAGTTTATTTTAAAAAATTGTACCACACTGATCGTGATGACCAGCATACACATGATAATGGCTTTTCTCTTGGGTATTAACATTGCAGTATTTTTGTATACTGAAATGTTTTAATAGGACCAAGAACGTTAGAGAATAAAAATCTTAGATGAAAATGAACACTAATAATTCTGGTGTCCTACCCACAGAATTAATTTAAACCCCTTATGAATCAGTGGCATTATAACGTTATGTAGTTATGAAGAACGAAAGTTCACTTACAAGTAGGCAGCATGAACTTGCACTTCCTCGTACTTTAATCTTTAGTTTTAATCATTGAAGCTATGTCCACCCTGGCTAAAGCACAATCACACAAGACACCTCAGATAATTTCCATGCTACCACTGCACAAGTTTAGTGATTTTGCTTAAAAAAAAAAAAAGAAAATCAAACCACCATCAAAATAAAGAGGCAAATAAAAGTGACTTTCAGATCATTTGAAAAGCATAGTGCTTTTTTCCCCAATATAGACTCAAACTTAAATGTTATAATCTCCAAACTTCTGCAATAAAATTAACATTTATATATATGGGTTTTGTCTCTAGAACTGTATTTTGCAATTAACAAGAGTAAGTTATTTTTTAGAGAACAATGTATTTGGTTACAGTGCCACATATCTGTAGTAAAGACAAAAATCCACATGATGTTAAATCTGGCTCTAAGTAACCTAAGGTACAAAATTTTGACCAAAGATCAAAATTATGATAATCTGATCTTAAAAATTTAACCCATATGAGATTACTTTCTAGAGAGTGAATGTGCTGTTCAGTAATTATTTCAATAATCTTTTTTTTTTTTATGACTATCTGCAAACTGACCCTTTTCCTTAATCATTGTGACTCACAAATATTTCAAACTGACCTCTTTACTTCTGTTACCATTTCAGTACCCAGGGATTTCTGAGGCAGCATAAGTTTGACTTCATAGAAACAGTAGATATTTTAACCTTCAGTGACAATTTTTAAATCTGTAAACTCAAGAATCACATTATTTAGCTGAGCAACTATAAAAACATTGAGATTTTAGCATTTTAAGGCTAAATCTCTTTGTGCTTTTTAATTAAGCTACTTTTGAATCTTTTTGGTATTTATCAGCCATTTGTATTTCCCTTATAATAGTAAAAGAATATATTTAAAATAATTTTAAGGTTAAATGTCCTGGGGAGCTTATCAATACTTTTTTTAAAAAACACAGTATAAATCAATTATTTTTTCCTTCAGTATCTGGAATAGTAGAAATTATTTCTGGTCCCTCCTTAGATCAACCAACACCACTTTTCATCACGTATAACACTGTAATTTACCGACATCCCTGAAAAGTTTTTGATT